GTTAGACATCTATTGCCTGCCACATACAATGCTGTTTTAACACCTCTCTCTGGGCAGGTCAATAACACCTCCTAGACTCCAATTATGCAAATACTATTAACACATGGGTGTGACTAACAGATTATGTGGATTGGAGTGACATTCACCATATTTATTCCCAGATAATTTTTTCTGCAAGTCACTCTGAATTGAGAAAGCTGGTCGGATGTCCAGTGAAATGTCTTCAAGAAAAATACAGCAAGTCCAGTTGCCTTGACTTATTTTTTACAGATATACCATGACCTGGATGATAGAGAACCTTCACAGACATATGTAAGAATATGGATTCCGAACATTATAAAAGAACTAATTTACCAACAGTAATACCAGTAGTTTAGGGATTAGATTATTTTAGTGTTTGGGAGAGATTTAGTTTAGCTGAAAGGGTTTAAGTTTTAGTAATGGGGAACATGTTTTTTTGTAATGCTTAAGACTGTTATTTTCCCTGCCTGTATCCTTTGGAAAGATTTCCCTTGACTTCCTGTCCCAAAAGGCACAAATATAGTAAGATGAGATCACTAAAAGTGAAGGGGATTTCCCATGTTAGGCAGTTGCCACCAAACAAGGTTTTCCAATTGGATGATTTTTGTCACTCTAGGACAGATATGTTACTGGCATGGTCACTAGGTAAAAATAAGGTTTTTGTTTTTTTTATTAAGAGGCACTGTAATTATTAAGAGAAGATAAACAGGCAAGGAACCATTTTAAGGCTTAGGTTAAGGGTTCAGGTTGTGGGAGGATGCATAACAAATGCCTCAGGGTGGATTGGAAGACGGTTTATTCATCGTTTTCAGGGTGGCCTTGGGGTCCGCTGCTCTCCCCTTCTTTCTTACCTTTCTGTCTTCTTACTCCTTTCCCATCTTCCTTGACTGCATCCAGCCTGTCCCACTTGCTCATTTTCTTCCCCCTCTTTTTATTCTCACCTTTTTCATTCTCACTCTTTTGTCACACTTTTTCTTCATGTCTAGCATTTCCTCTCTGGGGTAATTTCTAATCCCTCTCCTTCCCCTGTCATTTATTGACATTAGCACCCTTAACAGCACATATCACATGTGCCCTTGCCTCATCTTGCGCACGTTATTGTATACTTGTACTACAGGGCTGTCTCCTTATGTTTATTGTTCTTGATATTGCCTCACTGTTGCACATCTTCTTCCATGTTTGTAACTTATTTAGTAAAACCTAATAAAATATATTGAAATGGAAAGACATGCAATCCTGAGCCTTTTAAACACATGTTACTGCATACACATAGGTGAGAAGGGGCACTAGATCGAATTCATTGCTTTGGGGCAATATATACTACGGGCAGACATTTTTTCAGATACCTTGATACATGCGGTCCATTACGCTTAACTCATTTACAGTGAATGCATACAGGTTTAGCTGGCCAGTGAGCAACTTTACAGAGAAAGCCTGTTTAAGATAAAATGTGGCTTTTACATTTTATAGATTTCCATTTGATG